GGTTCATGATTTTAATTATTTTTTTCCACTTTTAATGTAATTGCATGATGCATATATCTTCTTCTGAAATTTCTCCATTAGTGTAACTTGAAAGACCCAAATTTCTTACTTTTAGGATCTCGGGGGATCCAGAGACGAATTTAGAGGGGGCTGGGCTGTACCCCCCCCCCCACCCACTCAGGCCCAATAGGCTTTTTTAAAGTATTTTAATCAGTTTTTTTATGTGTAAAATTTTTTTTTTTCGCGTAGCAGCCTGATCTTGGATCCAATCCTAGATTCGTCCCTAGGTGGATCCCTAGGAAGAGAAATGTTGAGGTACATTACACATTGCATGTTCCTGCTACACGTATATATGTAATTTACAACAATGACTCGTATATGAACATATATTGTTATGTACATTCATGTTATTAGAAATACATAATCATATGTAGTATAATGGTTTTTCATAATCATCACCCTCCACAAACATTATCTCAACCCCATGCCTCACTTCATCACGTTGCAATTAAGTTACATTTGAAGACACGACTATTTTTTCTATTCTTCTGTCAAAAAATACATATGAATTACACGAAATATATCGGCACATAAATTCAATTTTTGTTTTGAACCGAATTTGTGCTATCATGATGATACATGTATTTTATTCAGAATTCATTTATTTTGTGACCATATCAGATTGCTTCATACAGATATATTCTTGTGCATCGAAATAATTGATGTATACATTTTTCCTATTTTGTTATGTGTTACATTAGATTATTTCGATACCCTCAATTGTAGCATAACCATTTCTTCATTTTTGCATAAATGATTGTGGTTTGTATGTGATAAAGTATGTAGAATTCATCATCAACGATAATATTCATCAAATTTTTATTTTTTTTGGGGTACCCAGTATTGCTAGGAGACCTCGTCTATCAACTATACAAGTACGGAAACTAGAAGATTTGCGAGGAATATGAAGCTGACACCAATCTCATTCTGAAGAGTGTGGGGAAAGCAAGGAGAGGCAAGAATGCAGACCAAGCCTAGAAATTAAAAGAACAATGAAAGCAATAGTCCACCTTTTTGCTGTTCATATTTCAAGATTTTGTGATGTCCAACAGTGAGCAAACTCATTGTTTTATATCATTTATCTTGTCTGAATAGTTGGAAAATATTTGGATGTATTTTGTTTATTTTAAATTCTGATTACATAGAAAAAGGTGATGGTATTAAGAACAAGTCATTTTGAATGTCTATAGTAATTTTATATGGTGGTATTATGAACACGTCATTTAGAAATGTTAACTTCTTATTTCTTTATCCTACAAATCTATTTCATTTTGATTATTTCTTAATAGTGCAAGTTCATAAGTATCACTTTTCATTGTGGACATATATTTCAAGCTCATACTTGTAAACGTTCACATTTTCATCAATTACAATCTAAATGTATGTGTAGTCACATATCTACATACATCATTTCATTTGATCACATAATCCATTCGTTCCATTTGATGCATATTTAACAATGCGACATGCAAATCCACCGACAGTGTAAGAATCTACATTTCTTCTATAACATGTTCACCAACGAGATGTTTTCTAAAATCAATAATTAGATTGTCATCTATCAAGTTCATTTCCGTTAAACAACTACATCACACATACACCTAATGTCAACCACATATAAACACGTCTAATATCTTTCCTGTATACTTAGAAAAGTAATATTCCTTTCAACATTTCCAAATCTCCAACAATAAAGAATGTATGTGGAAATGCAAATTACATTATTTACAAGTATGTAATATTATGGAAGCAAAGGTGTTCACGAACCTAAAATTCAATTATCCCAATGGTTGTAATAATTACCTTGTTCTTGTAAAAGAAAAATTATACTAAAAGTACGTTCATCCACAAAGTTGATGTACAAAATGGGTATATGAATATCCCACAGACAAAAATGAATTTCAGAAGCAATTGCTTATTTTGAATTTGCATTGCTTAACTGATGTAATTAATGTACTCCGTAATCTTTGTCATTGCATATTTCAGTTACAACTCAAAATAAGGAAACCTTCACGTTCAGTACTTTTGGTGTTTTTATTGGGGTTATGTAGTATTTTCAGTATATAAAAATGTTTTTCCGGTATAAAATGAATTTTTATATATTTCAAAGGTACATATGAATTTTATTATTATTATTATTATCATCATCATCATCATCATCATCATTGACCGCAATCACTCCATCAAACATGCCCCAAATCATCCACTTAAGCTGCCCAAAGAAAACCTCAATCACAGTCTTTTTATTTACCAAAAAGGAAAAAGAAAAAAAAATCATAAAATTGCCCGTTATCTTGAAAAAAAAATCTATACTATTTGTAGCTTTATTCAAATCACAATCTTATTTTTTGTATGAAATCATGCCAAGAAATCGACATCCATACTTCAATCTAGCGGGTTTCGAATTTTTATTTTGTTCGCGTAATTCGTAATAGAGGTAAAGATACTTGCATCCAATCGGTATGAACAATCCAAAAGTTCTTGATTTGCACGATATATATATATATATATATATATAGAGAGAGAGAGAGAGAGAGAGAGAGAGAGAGAGAGAGAGAGAGAGTGTGTGTGTGTGTTAGTGCTACAAGAATTTGTTTTTTTTTTTTTTAAAGACAACAATAACTGTATTTTTAATCACATGTAAACCAATACAGCACATCACTATAATGAATAAATAGTAAAATCGTAAAATTTTCAACAGATAAAGATGTTTGTACCGAGGGGGGTGTACCAAACCGTTTACACCTCCTTCACAAACATGCAGACCCCATGTTTAATTTAATAATTCGAATCGAGGTCCCACCCAAATGATGTGAGTAGTGGGTAAATGGTTAGGTAAATGATTATGTACATGTAGCACAATCCTTTTTCAACTGGTGAATAGCATAAATTATTCAGTGATGGATAAGTGGGATGATCGTACAAATTCAACTTATAGTTCTGTGTGCAACTGAATGAAAAAGTTATATAGACATTACATAATTTATATGCTCATGTCAGTTCAATTTCAACTTGTGATATAAGTTTGTATAAGTAAAAAATTTAGCAGATGTACTTGGACAAAATGAAGCCCATGATATTTTACAAAATCCATATTCAACATCAAACTCCCCAATAAATTGATTTGTAATAACAGAAATAAAGTGAATTATTTTGTATTGTGTTAGCTTGAGATATGTTAGAAATTGATACAATTACGTATAATCTCTATAAAAGAAAAATGTGGAATATAATTCTGATGTATAAAATTTCGAATTGCACAACAATGAAGACTTTACCGCAATCTCTCTTGAACAATCGACGATTATGATAATCCCATTTGTAATGTTAATTGTTATTTAATAATAATAACTTCCTATTCGAATTTGAATCTCCATATTTTCAGCATATGGAGTTAATATCATCAATTTACTTGCCTCTTGAAATTTTTAGTTACGGTTCCAAAAAGGAAAATTTCATAGGCATACAGATTTTAATAGGATTATACAGTAAAATTGGTTAATAATATAAAATGAAATAATATGAATTAAGCATGCATTTATGATTTTTTTCCCATGATTATATTAATTGATGAGAGAGGTACTTTTTCTGTTATCATTTTTACTACAAAAATTGTAGTATTTTCTGTATAAATAATGTCTAAAAGTAAAACATGAATTTAAATAAAAAAACAATGTACGTGGTGAGATTTCCACAATTCTATAACAGTTAACTTAATTTTCAGCCCTAGTCCAATGATTAATAGTTCAAATTTAGTTAAGTACTCTACGTATAATTACACATTCATCTAATTGACATTGCAGTACGAAAAGCTCGTTATCAAGCTAGATATTTTATTTCATCTATATTTGACCAAGTTTAAAATGTTCATTTTCAATTAAATAAGTAAATTTTATAATAAATTATTTTTTATTAAAGTTAGAAATAAATGACTTATTTAAACAGTTAGAGAGCTACATGTTTGACTAGGCTTAAAAGTAACTAAATTTTGTTCTATGTATGTTTTCACATGTTACTTATTTACTCTTATAAGTAAAAAAATTACTTATTTTGAGCATGAAATGAGTTCATTGAAAATTTTATAGAATGTAGCTCACCTCTACATCTTTTTCTAGCTCCGTCCATGTGCATTATAATTATTGAAATTATAAAACTTCGGTTTGTAATATTTTTATTGATATTATTTATATTTTAACATGAAATTTTATATTAATGTTTATGATTTAACTTATTCGCTATATGCTTTCTTTTCTTTGTTAAACCGTGATTTCAAATTGAACCAAACCGAAAAAAGTAGTTTGGATTGGTTTAGTTTAAAAATCGAAGTGGTTTGATTGGTTTGAAAAAAATTTCAAACCAATTTAAATAGTTTGGTTTGAAAATTTATTGCAAACCATCCAAATTCATGTTCATCCCTACTAAACACACAAAGCACGTGCTATTTCTGAAACGAAAAATAAAATCCATTAAGGAAAACTCAGGAAATTGCAATAAATTTCAGGGGATTTCAATGAAGATCGTCCAATCTCATCATTATTTTGTGAAAAAAAACTATAGAATACATTATTCAAGCGAGTAATCCAGTTTAGCTGTCTGGATATCTTATGAGATGGCTCGACCTGCAATCTTTATAAAAGGGTTGATAAAAATAATTTTAGTGAAAGTTGGACTTAAATTGTGGAACTGAACTATTTCTGTCGTAATCGAGATCCTTACCATTAGATAACAGGCCTTATTACATGTATATCAAGGTTTATATAAAAGATTACATAATATCCAGATGGCATTCTACGATTTGTCAGTTTAAAATACAGTCAACTTCTTCATCTAATCTTTTCACTATATATCATTTTCAATAACCGCTTATGTACCATTTTTATGTACAAGTAGCAAAGTCCCTAGATAACATCAATTTGCAATATACGAGCAGAAAAAATTGTGCGTGATATAAGAAATTATACTTGTAAAATAAGAAATTCTTGACAAGAATTCAAGAATTGAATTCGTCAAATTCTATTCATCGTGCGTGATATAATTTTACATATATCCAAAAATAGAACCTTCAAATGAGCCGAAATTGTGCTTTCCAACAGTTCAAAAAGATGGGCCTAAATAAACTTCAGAGTTGTACGAAACAGAAACTCGTCCCTTTGTTTAGGCAACGAAGAGAAGATTCTTGTGGACCACTTGGGTACATATTATGAGCCACCTACTTCAATCAATTAGCCAAGAAAATCACTGGTGCTAGATCTAGAGGTATTTTAATATACAAAAACTCTCTTTTCTTCAAATACCACAATGCAAAATAGGGTGGAATCAATTGAGGAGTGCGTTGGAAACATGTCCACTTGTTGTAGGCTTCTCAGTTTGTTCTGCTCTGGCAAGGATTATGACAAACTGAGATACCATAACTTAGGAGTAAACAAAATTTTGATCGGAAAGTGCTACACACCAAGATATAGGAAATCAATGTGATGGGCACATGTGGCCGGATTTCATGTGCACGCCTGGACGCTTAGTATCTGCAGCATCTAAAATAGTAAGAAATTAAGCAACAATTATCAATCCCTGGATAAAAGCAAGCACGGACGGTAAAAAATGCATGGTTTTTCCCACTGACCAAAGATAGAGAACACCAAGAACAGACCGATGAATCGATACCATTTACAAGAAAGGTCATATAACAACATGGTTTTGACTTTGTTAAGGAGATTACTTCCAATAAACCCAATACATATAAAATAGGTTAGGATCTCATCAAAGAATGATTGAACCAATAAATAATACGTCTAATAAGAAGATAACCTGTAATGACAATGTCAGGCTTGGGAAAATAGTTATCAAAATTCTCCTCAATTTGGTAGAGATCCCCTTGGACAAACGTGGCATGCATATGACATTCAGATTGCCATTACAGTGTGTAGCTCCGATGGCCAGATCAACTATCTCAAAATCATATACATGTCCACCCTAGGAATATGGGCCAATTGAAACAACAAACATTATCACCCCAAAAACCCAAATGAACAGAGGAAAATTAACTTTTGGCAAGTGTTCCTGTCCCATAAAATAGATCAAAAACTATTTCTGAACCATCTCCCTTTACAGTCACACTCTTCTATTAGTTCATATAAAGAATTCAGCCTGCACTTTGAATTAATTATAGATGGTATCACTTATAGGAAGTAACTGGAAAACCAGAAAAGCACGGGTGTAAATGAGCTGAAAATATGTTCAAACATGTCTTGCTTTTTACTCTAGTAATCTTGAATGAGGTTTGATGAATTGAATCCAAAAGAAGATCCGGCAGTTCCATTAATTCAATCTTGGTTCATTTCATTTTCAATTTTTAGCTTGAACAAGCTCTTAAGCCAAGCAGGTGCCTGAAGCCACACAAGCATATTTACAGCACTCGACGTTTTATACCTGGTGAAATTTTTTGTCTGGAAAAAGTTCACTGAAATTTGAAATGCATTTCCTCTTATATTTTCTGTAGTTGTTGATTTGCCATAGAGCGCATACTCCTCCTGGCCAACTGATGTGTTTCCCACAGAAGTATTTACATTGTTCTTGACGCTTACCTATGTCCCATCAGAAAATAAGAAAGTAGATTATATAGCACAACTGTAACCTATAAGAAAATGTTCAGTGGGATTACCTAGTCAGTGAGAAATAATTCAAAAAAAGATGTAACTAACATTACCCTCAACATCAATGGCGGCATCATTTTGCAAAAAAAATGACCATTAACTAGAAAAAATGTGTGCATATAAAATTTGGGAAAAAATTCAGCAAAGTAAAACTTCATGACCTCAATCAATTCTCCCATTTAATTTCATTACTGAAAAACTAGAAAGACTTCTATCGGAATTGTTCATTCACTGTTACCTTATTTTTCCATATTTTCTAATTCATGGTTGCTGGAAATTCATTTGTAGCCTCTTTCATTATAATGAAATTATTTAACTCTATAGCTTCCAGAATTCTCTATATTGATTTAAATGATTCCAGTTGAGCACAAAATAACAACTCTCAACTCAAAATCTAGAGAATAATCCAAAGCACTTTAGGGGTCATGTGTAAAAGAATTCTTTTTTGAAACAAAATCAAAAATATCGGAAGTGAAATTATGATTCTTCTCCCCATCTATTTACCACTCTCCAAAATCTTCATGTAAAATTGATCCCATGGTTTAAACTGACTGCCCACATTTCAATTTCATAACTCTCTGAGATCGCATGTAAAATAGCTTTTGCTTTAACAACTTTTGACATGCCTGATAATGAAGGGATGAGACTTTGGACCACAAACCTACAACATGATGGATAATTGGCAGGAAGCGTCAAAGTTCCAAACAAGACGGGCTGTTATATAAAAAGTTAGCTAGCGGCTTACAACTTCTTGCTGCCAACATATGATCAGGCAAATATGTAGCTATTTGGCTGCTTGGGTTGTTGGATGCAACATGTCTTAATACTCATTATGCACCATATTCCAGCACCAATTGTTGCAGCTCACGCATAGCAACTTCTGAGGGATTTCTGACCCGCTTCTTGTCATATCCGAGGGCAAACGCTTTATAAGTAACATCATTTGGATAAATACCTTGCTTGATCATCATATTGACTAAGTGACATGCATTAGCAAGATCACTTTTGCTGCAAAATCCATGTATGAGTGTGTTATATAATATCAGATCTGGAACCAGGCCCGTACTGAGCATCTTAACAAATAGAGAATAAGCCTCATCCATACGGCGTGCCCGACAAAACCCATTAAGAATAGAACTGCACATCACAACATCAGGTTTCATATTTGTTTCACTTATATAAAGCCAAATGAGAAATGCTTCTGCGAAGTTTCCTTTCTTTGTGAATCCATTCATGATATTTGTAAAAGCAACAATATCAGGAGAGAAACCCCTTTTTACAAGCTCATCCAGTAAATCCTTTGCTTCAATAGCATATCCTCTTATAACAAGACTATGAATGACAATGTTGTAGGTCACATTTCCAGGAGAAATTCCAGAGGATTTCATGATATTCAGAAGTTCAAAAACCTTGTGCAAGTACCCCTTCTTGCCAAAGCCATCCATTATTGTGTTGTATGCCACGACATCCGGTGTCAAACCTTCTTTTGCCATATCCTGGAAGAAATATTCTGCCATCTCCATATCTCCAGACTCGCAACAACAATCCACGAGTATCGTGTACGTGACAACAGATGGTTTTATTCCCCTCTTTAATATTTTTGCCAAAACGTTAAGTGCCATGTTCATGTCCCCAATTTTACAATATCCTCTTATCATAGTGGTAAAACAGAAAGAGTCGGGAGATAAACCTGACTCTGACATTTCATGGAACATATTTGAAGCTGCAATCATGTTGCCATCACTGCAGAACCGGGATATTAAGCTATTATAGATGTAAATATTAGGTGAAATGTTAAATACTTTCATAAGATTAAAAGCCTCCTCCATCTTTCCCACCTTGCAGAAACCATTAATAACTGAACTAACAGAAACTGAATCAATGGAAATACCAACTGCAGTCAATTTGAACAATATAGATACGGCTTCTCTCCAAAGTGATTGTTTGCATAAAGAATTGATAAATATAGTATATGCCACAATATCAGGACTAATCCCACATTTTTTCATTTCCATCAACAATTTCCAAGCACCTCTAAGATTAATATCAGAACAGTACTTTTGGAGAAACAAGTTAATTATTGAAACATTAAAACCAATCCCTCGACATTGAATTTCTTCCAGAAATTCCCAAGCATAATCTATCTGCTCTCCACGTAATAAAGCCCCAAGGAGAGAATTGCAAACCCCAACCGAAGGGAAAATATCAAGAGATTTCATTTGATAAGTCAAGTTCAGAGCCATGTTTACCATATTTTCCTGGATATAACATTGAACAAGCATGCTATATGCAGTGGCTAAAACCTGCCTATTGATACAAGTTTCAAAATAGACTTCAAACAGCAGATTAAGCCACCAATCTTCGCCATTATTCTTCCTGACAAGATATTGAGTTAAGTCCATTGCTCTATAATTCATATTCCCCGCAATCAAAACATGTATCATTGTAGATATAGATTGGACTGTAAGTTTTGAGCCCATGCAATGATGAGACCATATAAAGAAGTACAGAGCAGGGGCAGCATTCCCACTTTCCTCAAATAAGTCCTTTAAAATCCTTGTTATGTTATACTCGTTCAAATTTAAATTCTTATAGTTACCAAGAAATCCTAGACCCCAACCAGATTTTTCAAGTGTCAGTTCTATTCTTTTCAGTTCACCATTGTCAATGGCTTTCTGATTAAAAATATGATTTACACCAAAGTCAACCACCCAGTCATGCTGTTCTACACATTCATCAGCAACGCATTTCACATTGCATGGGGAATTATCGCCAGAAGAAAGGTCTTCATCCCGGAAGTATGACGATGCTGGTAATGCTATACTCATATGTGGAAAAAACCTGAATTGCTGAGACCTCAGCTTAATTCCAGCATAGCAAGTTTTGAAAATTGAACCTAACAGTTTCATTAACAAGCAGCAAAAATATCTGCAAAATTCAGAGTAAATAATTAATCTGGGAATCGGAAAGAGAGATATTGTGGAGTGCTAAAATGAAATGCAAAAAATTTCAATTCATGCCAAAACAATCACAGTGTGCTGATACCGAATTAAACAATCATAATATTATGAGTTTTTATGCATATAGTATGGTGCTTGTTTAATGAAGAGATCCATGGATTTTGGGAATGGTGGAATTTAGGCAAAGAATTTAACCTGCTTTCCTAGAAAGGAATTGAACAATGATAATTTGGACTCCATAAATCCTTGTATACATTAATTGAAACTTGATAATGATTCAGATCTCTTTCGGACAGTAAAACCCACAAGAGATGGCTGGGGAAGGTCACTTCAATGCCTAATACAGTCAATAAAGGTAAGGATTCTTAAAATGTGTGGTCAATTTCTTTTATTCGCGTAGCATTCTTAACATAACATATCAAGCTATCCATCTCATTAGGACATCCTCAACAAAAAGTTCTTCATTTCATTTAACTTGTCTTCCTCTCACATACTATTCATTTTTATATTTTCTGAGTTTGAATTTACGCAAAATTGCAGCAGAAGGCTCCAAACTGTGGGTAATGTAATATTTGGGTTCTCAACCGTTACCTCTTGGTATCTAGGTCCTCAACAATTTAATTTTGTAGCACTTGAGTCCCCAATGAGCAGTTTCCATCCATTTGACCATTTAATAGTTAAAGTTTGAGAGAAAAGAAGATCAAAAATAATTAAACAACTTCCTTCCCTCTCCCCTCCCCACACCCACTCTGCCATCCCAAGCAATTGTGACTGGTTTGGAGGGGCTGAAATTTGGGAGAACGCACGGGGGGGATGAGGCAGACAAGGGGTGGATTTGAATGGGTTGCAGACGGGTTGCATGAGAGTGAAGAGTGAAGAGTGAAGGGTTGCAGGGGTTCAATTTCCTAGGGAATGACGTGTTCAAGCGAGTCTCTCTCTATATAATGTTTTTGTCATTTCTGTAAAACCAAAATTGTTATTGTTAATTGTTCAAGTTTATGTGAGAGTTTGGTATAAGCAACACAGGAGGAGGTTAATTTACTTCCCACTCCTCTCCTTTCATTATATAGAAAAACGAGAGTAAATACACATGAAAACTCGGTAATTATGGAAATACAATAAACTCTAGTTATACTCTTACCTAATTTACGTGATTTACTTCCTTAATAACCCCCCCCCCACCTCAAATTAGAGCATGTATATCATGTAAGCCCAGCTTGAAACAAATAAACTTCAATCGATTACCATTCAACAACTTTATAAACACATCACCAAGTTGGTCTCCTCTCTTCACAAATGGTGTACATATATCACCACTTACTATTTTGTCCCGAATAAAGTGACAATCAACTTCAATATGTTTAATTCTCTCATGAAAGACTGGATTGGACGCAATATGTAAAACAGCCTGATTATCACAAAACATTGGAATAGGAGTGAAAGGTGAGAAATTGATTTCTTGAAGAAAGTGCCGCAACCGTGTCAACTCATATTCTACTTCTGCACTTGACCTTGCTGTTACAATTTGTTTCTTACTTTCCCAAAATACAAGATTACCACCGAGAAAAGTACAAAAATCGGTAGTGGATCGTCTTTCTGACGGGGATACCGCCTAATCTACATCTGTAAACCCTTCTATTCTGATATGTCCATTCGGTTTATAAAATAATCCAAGGCCTGGAGCCTTTTTCAATTATTGAATAATATGTATCACAGCTTCCCAATGAGGAACCGAGGAGCATCCAAGAACTGACTAATAACATTCATTGCATAGAAAATATCTGGTCATGTGATAGTAGGATAATTTAATTTTCCAACTAAACAACAATATTTTCTTGGTTCTCCATACAATTCTTCTTCATCCTTCAAAAGCTTCACATTAGGATCCGTGGGAGTATCAACTGGACGAGTTCCAAGACAAATTGTCTTCTAACAGATCAAGTACATATTTTCTTTGAGATAAATTGATACCTACTCGTGACCTAGTGACTTCAATACCTAAGAAGTATCGAAGCTTGTCCAGATCTTTGGTCTGAAAATGTTTCTGTGGAAACTACTTCAACCGGGCAATCTCATCTGCATCATCACTAATGATTATAATATCAACTACATAAACTACAAGGATAACATAATCTACACCAGTTTGTAGATGAAATACTGAATAATTTGTCTCACACTGCTAAAGATCAAATTCTAAAACAACCTCAGAAAACTTTCCAAACCATGCCCTTGGTGATTGATTTTAACTCATATTGAGTCTTTTTCAACTTACATAGTTCTGGTACTTCTCCTGAGCAACAAATCCATAGTTCTGGTACTTCTCCTAAGCAACAAATCCAGGTGGTTTATCCATATAAACTTCTTCGTGCAAGTCACCATGAAGTAACGCATTTTTAATATCCAGTTGAAATAGAAACCAACCAAGGTCAGCAGCAATAGAAATCAAAACTCGAATAGAAGAAATCTTAGCAAGGAGAGAATGTTTTATCATAATCAATGCCATAGGTTTGTGGGTAACCGTTAGCAACCAATTGAGCTTTCAATCGATCAACAGTCCCATCGAGATTGAATTTCGGAACAAAGACCTATTTGTTACAATAGAAAGTATGCCAGCCAGTGAAGGAATCCCAAGTCTTATTCTCGTGCAAGGATGCCACTTCTAATTCCATAGTCTTTCACCACTCAGGAACAGATAAAGCCTCTGTCACTATCTTAGGTACAAAAATACTATAAAGTTGGGATATGAAACAAGAAAAAGGTGACAACGAATCAAAACTAACATAATGGCTTATAGGATGTTTAGTTACACAAGTACGTTTACCTTTACGGAGAGCAATGTGCAATGAATCAGGATCAGAATAGATGATAGATGCAATCTGTGGACTTTATGGTGACGGATGGGGCCACAAATGTCTATGGCTTAGGTAATCGAGTATAAAACTGTAAAGGAGGTGGTGATACCGTATGAGAAGAGGACAACCCTGGTGCAGTAGATGGAATCGAGTCTAGTCCTAGAGAAGTACCAACAGGTAGATATGGTACGGGTAAGCTAACGAGGACTCCAATGGAGTCGAAGAAGTACCAACAGTGTAGACTCATTAAAAGTGACATCTGCATTTACAAAATACCATTGTAGAGGACTGTAGCACCCATACCCCTTTTATGTTTGGGAGTAACCAAGAAAAATACATTTCATAGAATGAGAGTCAAGTTTATCACGACCAAGACTGAAGTGATGAACATAACAAACACATCCAAAACCTTGAGAGGTAACGAATAATGTCGAGAGGAGGAAAACATGAGAGAGAAGGGAGATGCACTGTCCAAAATAGAGGAAGGCATGCGATCAATGAGATAGCGTTCAATAAGAACAACATCACTCCAAAAAGGTTTCAAGACATGCATATGACAAAGAAGAGCACAAGTAGCTTCTAACAAATGACGATTTTTGCGTTCTACAACTCTATTTTGTTGAGGAGTATACACGTAAGATATTTGATGAGTAATGCCTTTGGAAGATAGATATGATATAAAAGAGGCAAATATATATTTTTGGCATCATCAAATCGCAAAATACGATCTTCTGGTTAAATTGAGTTTTAATCAAAGTACGAAAAACTTGAAAAATAGAAAGTATCTCAACGATTTTTCATTAGGAATAACCAAATCATACGAGAATAATCATCCACGAACGTAACAAAATATTGAAATTTATTAGAGGAAAAATTAATCGGTCCTCATATATCGAAACGAACAATCTCAAATAAACTAGAAACGCGACTAACAGCTCATAATGAAAAAGACACGGTGATGTTTACTAAGCTGAAAATCTTCACGGTGAAGAGAGGACACGTTACAAACTCACAACTTGACGTTTATACGTAGAAAAAGAAGGGTGACCAAAACAACAATGCCACTTTATAGGTGAAACAGAAGACTGGAGAACGTGAGGAGGAGAGACTGGGGAAAGATTCGGGTAATATAAGCCACCAACTTCATGCCCCATACCAATCATCCTTTTCGTCTTGAGATCCTGAAAAACATGCAAAGAAGGATAAAATATTACAAAACATTGAAGAGATGTGATAATTTTACTAATCGACAATAAACCGTTAGCTAGAGTGACTTATTTGGATGAAGTAGTAGGATGATAATCAAGAATAGACGAACCAATCGTGTTTAGTAACCCCGAAATCGAGAATCCGTGAATTATGAGAGGACGACATTAGGCAGTGAGAAGACGTAGTACCTAACTGAGCGAGAGTGGCCATAGAAGTGGAAGTGGCGTGTTTATAAGCTAAGAACTCAGCATACTCATCTCATGTACAAATTAGAAATTAGGTTCTGGTGTTAAACTAGAGTTAGCCACTGGTCCAAATTCCGGGGTGATTATCCTCATTAGACGAGACCTAATTGGCAGAACAAGATAGCTTACCATGTAAATTCCAACAGTAATCAACGGAGTGACTTACACAACCACAATGAGTACATTTTCGAAGGTTCACGAGTTAATGAACGATTAGTGCCTCGTCCACCCAAGAGCTAACATCACGTCCACTTCGACCATTTTGTTCACCTCTAAATGAGCCACCCCTAGCAACAAAAGTAGAACGATCTCCACTGGGTGTATTATCTAATAGAGTAGGGCGCTGAATACAAGAGAATGTCTCTGCAAGCTGGGGAGCTCTTTTCCATCTAGTATTTGTGCTCGGACTGCTTCAAACTCTAGCGAAAGACCAATAAGTAATTTAACAACATCGATATCTTCATTTTATTTTTCCATAACCTTCAAATCAGTAGAGAGGCTGATTACATTTCTTTCCTGACACACAGCTAAAACCTTATTATAATATTCGATAAGGCTGGAGGAGCCCTTCTCAAGCTCACAGTATTGTTTACACGTTTCATATATTCGAGTAATATTTTCAATTCCAAAATGCATATGTTTGAAATGCTCCCAAATTTGCT